CCACATTGCAGCGCGATACTGCAATGTTACCAAAATGTTTCGGTTATTGTTAACATTATTTAAAAACTAGGGAAGGGCGAGGCATGTACGAAAGGGAAGGCTGTTTCAGCTTCACTAACGTGAAACCTAAGCGTATCATAGTCGAAATCTAGGAGAAGAATTGGACCTGGGCCGGGCACGTAGCGCGTAGGCAGGATAACCTCTGGCCATTAAGTGTAACTTACTGGATTCCCAGAGAAGGCAAACGCACGAAGGGGAGATAGAAATTTAGGTGGCCAGACGAGATTAGAAAATTCACGGGTATAAAGTGGCAGCAGAAAGCACAAGACCAGGCTGACTTGCGGATCATGGGAGAGGGCCTTGCCCTGCAGTGGGCGTAAGGATGATGATGATGATGAACGTGAAACTTGGAGGAAGGACGATGCATATAGTGTCTTGAGAGAGATTTCTTCAATGAGACACTAGTGTTGCCAAACTTGAAACCGGGCATACAGGGAAGGCCGTTTTCGCCCCACTGACTCCGCCGACTTTTCGGGGGGTGGGGGGGGTGGGGGGCTAATTGTCACGGACTTTCATTCTTAGTGAACAAGTGACGAGTATTTGGGATTTGTACCAAATTTTGTTGCACACAACCGTTTATACAGAACAAGACTACATGACACACCATGACGGCATTATACACCAAAAAAAACACAAACATTAATATGCTTAGCACTTAATATTCTTGAAGCTACTGCCATTAGGAAGAGCACGCAAGAAAATGAAATGTGTATAGAAAGTGCAGCATAACAGAACAAGTGCATGTTGACGCTTCCGATCGTGTTTTAAGAGCGGACCATGGCTTGGGAAAAGACGTACGGGAATTCGAGAAAGAACACGCCAACGTTACACGAAATCCAGCTCAAACACGGAGGAAGTGCGGCCGGCAAACATTACAGAAGACGAACGTCAAGAAGAAAAACAACAAAGAAGGAATATCGGGAACTCGCTTTATAAAGACAATAAGTAAGCGCTCACGTAACGATAATAGCGCTGGGTTGAGACGTGTACAGCGAGAAAGGCCACGGCAAACAAAAAGAAACAAGAGCACGAGCAAAGATTCCGCGAGACAGCTCGCCTGCTGTTTGAGTGCGTACATACGCGTTTGCTACGCCTTGCGAGGGTGTGGAGAACTAACGTACGACGAATCCTTACAGCCAATAGGGAGTCGCAAGAAGTAATGGAAGAGAAAAAAAGATTACACGCTTTCTGCTTGGAAGAATACACCCACAGCACTCACGCACGTACACACACACGCGCGCGGCATCAGCTGCCTCGGGGGCAGCCGAGCACACACCGATTATGTGACTTGCCGACACGGGCTTCGCGCAGCCAGTTTAACCCCCTCCCCCGCCCTCTCTCTCAACTCTTCAACGTCCCGGTTATAACCGGCCGCGTCGGCACCGGAGCCGCCGACATATGGAAGCACACAGACGAGGCCTCCTCCGGAAGCGAGAAGCTGCTGCAGCTACCGACCAAGTGGACAAACAAGACGGTCGCGCACCGCCGACACTGTAGCTCGCTCCTGGAGTACACGATCAAACATCCGGGCACCCCAGCTTCGTACCATCAGCCTATTCCTCTCTCTCTTCGAGCACGTCTCGCACATTTGCCATCTCCACATCAAACAAGACACACGATGTCATCCCACTCGTCGGCTGCCTCCTCGGACAGAAACGCCCGAAGCGAAGCGGAAGCTCGCCAGCTGCAGTTGACCGGCGTAATCTTGAGCGACCCGAAAATGTGGTGCGAACACGCGCGTCATATTGAACGTACCAGTCGCACTACGACTCGTAACACGGCACCACGCAGTCTCCAAAGCTCACTGAACACCCACGGCTTACAAGAACTCTTATTTTCGCAGCCAAACACCGTTTTCCCCCCTTGGGGAACTTCGCCAAATGAGAAAAATGTCATCTATTTCTGGATATGACGTCAAACTGAAGCCACGCGTAACCTCCGACATCGTGAGGAGAACGCCCTCGCACGTTTCAAGGTTATACTAAACGCGACTACACAGGTGAAAAAAAAAGAGAGAGAGAGAAATGTAGCAGAAGTCCTCTCACGACGACCCCAAAAGTTCATGAAGCTAGCATGCGTGTAACTGAGTCTAATAACATGGAGACACGACAAGCTTAGCAGACATGACACAATGTGACACGTGTACAAAAATACACAAACGGTAAAACAAAAGATCTATAAAAAGTTCTACGATCACAATTATAGCTTTGCACTGATTAATGGAACATGCGGATATTAAAAGCTCAACATTACATGTGAAACTCTTCCACACTACCCTGGATACTGCGTATGCAGGAAGACAATGGCCGCCTAGTCGGCGTGCACATGAAGTCCAGTTTACCTACGAAGAAGAGTCTGCAGTGTCAGATATGAATACTTATAAACGATAGCAACCTCTTGAAATACTATTGGCTCATGTGACTGTCTATGCCTTTAATGAAAACAAAAAACGAAATCCCCTCTTCAACTTTGACCTAAGTCCGTTCGTGCGCGAACGGACTGTGCTGTTGGTCGTGCAATACACTTATGAAGTCCCACCATACCTCTAGACGAATCATCACGCTAGGCGTGACGTCTAGAAAACCCTTCCATGGGAGCTATTTTGAATATCGTCAAATTGCTCCAGCGGTCAACTCCAATCGGCTTAAAATGTCGCCTTTGCGGAATTTAACAGTACGACCGAATTTCACATCGTATTGATCTAGAATAACACGCCAATAATTATTAATAAGCCTCTCCGACCCGCCATCATCAGTAAACAGCGGCTGAAAGCGATTTTTCGCGTACTAGTAAAGTACAATTTCACAATCCCCAAACCACCACTCTTACCGCGACACGACGCTTGCTAAGCGAGAAAACGCGAGAAAAGAAAATGCGCCGTGAAGACTCCACTGTGAGATTATATACCACATCAAACACCGTGACGCAGTAAACTTCGAAGGCGCCTATACTGCGTTCTACGAAGCTTCTATTTGATAAAAATGGACTACATTGCCTTCTGTGAAAGCTCCAGACAGAGCGTACGAAGCTTCACACAATTTCATTGGGCCAACGTCGCAAAAACTCGAAAAATACATTTCCAAATTTGCTACGTCACACGCGATGATTTCAGCGCGAGACTTAAAAGTGAACCTTCATCATTGATTTTCTCCGCTAATAGTGAACTTATGACAGTGAAACGTATGGCACTAGCGTTCTCAGAGGGCAGTGTATCAATCTAAATCAAGTCATTGCTTCTATATTAGTGTCCCGTTAAGTGTACATGGAAATTCTAATACCGAAAAGCCAGAAAAAAATTTGACGTAGCATGAGATTTAAGGCAAATAAGAAAACGCAGAACAGTGACATAAAAGTGACGAAGATAAAGCCATATATATTATGAACGAGAACAAATCAAAAGAAGAAAAACAAATGAAGTCCACAGAAGCTCATGAATCTTTCCCACTCTTCTTCACACACCGCGGCCAAATTACGTTCGTTTGTTTGCCAAGGCCCCAGGCGGGTCTACATTTAAAAGGCGGAGGTCGTCACTCCATTGATGTGTGCAGTGCGTGGGTTCAGTATATACAGGCGCGCTACACTATGCGCGCCAAGGAAAGCGAATCAGTTCGCAGTAAACACGATGTGGTGAAGTATCAGCGAGGTGTGATCGATGGGCAAACGCCGGTGACGTTGAGTGGAGGAAAGGGCGGCGTTGGCTGCCGCGCAAGCATCCCACTTCAAATTGACGCTATAGTCAGAGGTAGGACAAGTTTGCCATCTTCAAAAGGTAATACGTATTAGTGAACTTCATGCTGCGTACATTCAAGCATTAACACTCTAATGAAAACACCAACCAAGTGAGAAAGATAGAAGGAAAGGGCAGACCTCTAGCGTTATATATGCAGGAGACAGCATAACTACTTGAGATAGAGCTGCTTATGTCGACAACGGCCTACTCTGCAGTTTACATGAACAGTCCGAGTGCCACAGTTGCAAGCATTCGTAGCTTGAGATAAAACCTGTTGTGCTAAGAAATACGCCGCTACAACACATCATTCCAAACGCGGTTGTTCAGTCACAATCGGACACCCTTCCTTTCTGTTGTTTTTTTATATATAAAATCATTGTCGTGAAAAGACTCCAGCAAAACGCGGTTCATTTTTCTGTCGTAATTTTTTTCATAAAAACAGCTACAAAAACAAAGTGGGTGAAATGTAAGTTCGTAGAAAGAAGTTCAAAGAAGTTCAGCACTGGTGAACTGTTTGCACAGCGTCAATTGTAAAATTGAATAGCGTCTGTTGTAACCAATGGCCGCGAATCCAACACATAATTTTGGAATTCGCATACAGCGAAACTCCTTCGCAAGAACGTCTTTGACAAAACATTCCGCTGCGAACGGCGCCACATGTCTTTGCTGGGCTTCTTCCACCCATGTGTTGTAGCGGGGTACGATGTCAGCGATGTCAATATTGATTTGCAGTCATGGTAAGTGGGCGTTTCTTAACGAGGCTCTCGCGGGAAGTGAACAAACAACAGTGGTTGAATCAAGAGATCTCGCGCGGAAGCCGGACACGAATGAAAATTTTCTTGACGTCACTTCCGTGACAGTGCATACAGCGTGGATATCAAAAAAAAAGCCAACAAACCGGGACGTTTTTTCGAGAAGTCACTTCCGTGACGGAGATCACAGAAACGACGCCATGAAAAGACGCGTTAGTTTTCTAGTATTTTCGCGTTCAGTAATTTAAATCAGTTCCAATCTGTTTGTTTTGTCGACGCACTTGAGCTTCTTCAACAACGTCATTCCCGTCACAGATGTCACGTGAATTAGGCCAGGCGGAGCTCGGCATAATACACTGTCGTGTTCAGGCAAGGAAAACTGACGATGACGATAAATATAGGGACACAAATATCGGAGGAAGAGTGTTTACACATTTCACAGAGGCGACAACACTCACCACTGTTTACGGCTAGTCGCTCGTCCCAAGTTACGAGTTCAGGAGTCTCGTCGACAGGGGGAAACCTGGAAGGTACACAAGAAAGAGCGCGTTAAAACAGCCCTGGGGAAACTAATTGCACAACAAGATGCCGCTGTGAATTAAATTGAGCCATGAATTATGCAGTCGCGTAAAATCGCCGTCCACACTGTTTATGTTAAGAATATATACCCACTACACTTGGTTGTCGCGGGTCGAGACAAACTCGGATGAAAACACCCTGTCGCGTTAGGATGGCGGACCTCACCTTAGTGCGCCGAACAAAACCAACATTTCAGGATGAAAGCAGGAGGGTACCGCACTTCAGTCGGAACAGATTGCTCTTCGATTATTGTTCTGGCACTGAGTACTCTAGCTGATGAGGAAAGCGAATTCAATCGCGTGCGAACATATCTTGCGTGGTTGCGTGACGGTTCATAACTGAAGAACCACGCAATATCGACAGACGCTGGTAAGAACAAGAGACTAGCGCTATTCTCTTACCTGTCTGGGTTCATACTGCGTTGTTATTTTAAACGAATGCGTAGCAACTGGCTCGCATTCAGACGATCTCAAGTGCAACGGTTATGGAGTCATCTGATTGCTTTTATAGCGGAATCTGCCACCAATTTTAGTGAAAATAAGCACCTATGCTGGTTTAAAAATTAAAATACCGCGCTGTTCAGCTTCATATAAGAAGCGTTCACGTGACGTCATCCGCAAGGGGCACGAGCGCTCCAGTCGCCATTCCTGCGGTCTCGCGCGCGAACATCATCGTCGGACCGCAACCAAAGTTCTCGGCCGCACGCGTTGGGTTGATGTTTTTCTAAAAAAAAAAAAAACAGCTTAGCGAGGAGCAGCGCCGCCAAATATCGCGCTTTAATATGCCGGGTCATTGCGGAAGAGTTTCGTGAATATATAACATATTTCCCTCGCTTCAGCGTAGCAGAGACCGCTGGGCGTTCTTGACGTGAAATCGGCGCGAGATCAGGCAAGAAACCAATACAGTGTCCGCTTAAGACTAAATCACGCAGCGACGACGACATCTGGGGTGGCAAAAGCTGCAAGAGCGAGAGCTTTCGAGACGTTTAGACGCCACGGCCTGCAGACAGGGGCGGACATAACCCTCGGGGCAGCGAAAAAACACACGGCACCGGGGATTTTTGCCCGACGTGCAGCATTACGCCTGTCATTGTCAATCACGTGCAATCCATACGCCGAGCAGTTCAGGCGCCATTGAATAAACAACAAATAGGATGGCCAGCTGACGGCCGGCTTGACAACCCTACATGTTACGACAGTTGCCCGACACGGAGACAAAGCTTGAGGAGGAAGGAGAGAGAAAATATGAAGAGAGGAGAGGGCGGGGGAGGGCAGAAGGAGGAAAGCTGTGAGAAAACATTCGAAAGAGCCTTTTCAATGACACGTAACGCAGTAATGGCGCCCAAAAGACGCCCGCCAGAAGGGCGTATACAAACCGCGGCACCGTTCGTACTTTCGCGGGGCATCTTAATCCTGTCACATAGCTAAAGCGGGGACGCAAGATTTTGACAGCGCAAACATGCAACACGACCCCTCCATAAAGGCGAGAGCAAAATTGAGCGCTCGCTTCGTTGCACCAGAGAGGTCAAACTTGAAAGCATAACAACAACAGCGCCAACGAAAATAAACAACATACGGAGAGAAGGCAAGCCCCCCCCCAAAAAAAAGTGACAGCTGTCCACCCGGGAAGAACCGCAAAGACAAAAATAAAGAAAAGATACACAGCCGCGCCGCAGCGCGTGAAATACGAAGACGCTGTCACAGGTTGTGGTGTAGGAAATGCGGGCCAGCGCGCATAACAAATGCACGCGCAGAAGCGAAAGCACGAAACAGAAAGTGGTCAGTGCACCGGACTATAGCGAGCGGCGATTCCACGCGGCAGCAGCAAAGCTGAGTTCACGACAATAACGCCGAGAGTCGACACCAGGACCATCCAGATCACGAGGGTATGCGGTCTTTCGGGCTCTGCTCTTATCAACCGCGAATGCATCCTTCTCTCTCACTTCTTCTGCTTCTTCTGCTTCTTCTGCTTCTTCTGCTTCTTCTTCTGCTTCTTCTTCTTCTGCTGCTTCTTCTTCTGCTGCTTCTTCTTCTTCTGCTGCTTCTTCTTCTTCTGCTTCTTCTTCTGCTTCTTCTTCTGCTTCTTCTTCTTCTTCTTCTTCTTCTTCTTCTTCTTCTTCTTCTTCTTCTTCTGCTTCTTCTTCTTCTTCTTCTTCTTCTTCTGCTTCTTCTGCTTCTTCTGCTTCTTCTGCTTCTTCTTCTTCTTCTTCTTCTTCTTCTTCTTCTTCTTCTTCTTCTTCTTCTTCTTCTTCTTCTTCTTCTTCTTCTTCTTCTTCTTCTTCTTCAGTTGGTCATTTCACTTTCAGTCAAAAAACTGAACCTTTCGTGGCCCTACATTCCGCACGTACTTACCGTTCAAGTACAAGCCTGAACGATTTGGTAAAACATAGTTGCGAATTAAGACACGGGCGATAAAATAGAGCCAAGATCAGCGTTATCGACTTTCGCCGCTGTTCGAATTCATCGAGGCTTGACGGTAAGAAAGACGCTAAATTCTTGGAATACTTCAAGCGGCGGTTCTCGATCGTGGAGTGGTGAGATAAGTGGCGCGGAAAAGGGGAAGAGCTAGGGGCGTTCATGAAGTAACTCAACACGCCGCGTGAAATAGCTGTCTTTTTATTTCTATTTGGCAAAGACTGGTCAAACTGAAGCGCCACGCTCGTTCGACTTCAATAGCTTGTCGATAAGTTGCGCGGTCTGCAGCCACATTATAGCCTTTTCTAGCTATGTCGGCTTTTCGAACATGCGAAACCTACAAAAAATGCATGCTCGCGTGCGTATGTCGTCGAAAACAGCAACAAACTTTACAGCTGTCTTATGGGAAAGAACCACGTGAGTGAGCTGCGCCGCAATGCGGATATCTTGTGCCCTGAAGCTCACTAAAAATTGGCCCCGTATCTGCATGTAATCTGCAAATGTCGTCGAAAGACGATAGTCTTGCATGTGGAGAGAGTGAACAAAACATTTATTAGATGTTCTCCTAAATCGGTGAATGGTATTCTGGAGGCGCTGCGTTAGAGTGCCTCGAGCGTGGAGCGGAGGCAAACGAGCGCATCAAGTCACGTCACACGTGAGACATGAGCGCCGTCTGGCAGTCTCTTTGGAAAACATAGCGCGTGACTCTGAGACGGGTGTGCGCGCCCGTCTCAGAGGTGATGACGTGTAGAACGCAAGGCGACGGGTAGGTGCCACCACCGTGTCGTCTTAGCAAAGCGTTTCGGGCGAGCGTTGCATGGTCAGCGCAGCGTGATAAGCGCTACGGTCCTTAAAATTACTTATGTATGCCTTTAATAGTAAAAGATGCACATGCAGAATATACGACGCACCCGTAAATGTACGACAGGCGCGAACGGCCAGTTTCAGTGCACTTCTGTCCCTGGAAGTTAAACAATCATGTCCTATCTGTTACGTTCTTGGTTTAACTCGAATATCTCGGCGCCGACAATCAACGTATGTAAAAACAGCCCATGGTACCACCTTTTCTTAAAATCCTTGCAACGACTTGCAAACAACCTATATGCAACTTCTTAAGAATTGTCCAGCTTCGCTATTTGAAGCTTCAATCAAGGCACTTGGCCGTCCGTTCTCATTGAAGAGACAGCGACGCTAGGCGGTGCACCGAAGAACCGTCATCCCCAAGATAATACGGTCCTGACACACCAGCTGCGACCCTTTAAGTCCAGGACACAAAGCGTTGACGACGCAAGAAGTGAAACATATATACAGGCGATTTCGCGAGCCTCGTCAGAGATATGTCCCAAACGCGCATGCGCAATAAGGCGGAGCCGGCTTATCACAAATAATTGGGCCCCGACGAGTCGGCAGCGCATCGCTGGTCAATCACGAAGTTATAGCGGCTTATTCTGAGCGACAAAACGCTGAAAATCTGCCTCGATTCATAGGGAGCGCTGTTGCGACGTTGGGTGGTACGTAAACTCTCAATAGCAATCGTTAAGAGTCATGCACGGACTTATTGACGAAATGTAAGAGATTGTTGTAGTGGACGTTGAGTGCTATGTTTATTCTCTAATGGATGGCGCTGGGAGCATGCACGGGCCCCCTCATGTGGGGTACATAGCAGGGGGCAGTTCGAAATAAAGGGGCTTCCCGATGTTGCTATGAGCCGTGCTCGTGTCTTACTCGGCGTCTCTGAACAATTGTAACGACAGGGCCACGCCAAGTTTCCGCTCTCTTTCTCTCTCTCTCTCTCTCAGTCTTCCTTTTTTCCTATAGCCTGCATTCGCCTTCAAAATGTTTTTGCTTCAGCGTACTTCGTTGCATCGTTGAGCTCATCCCGGTGCCTTGTTAGTGCTCTGCTCTCAAAAACAGTTAATTTCTCATGCTTTGTTCGGCATGTATGTAACTTGGTTTATTGGCATAAAAATATTTAAACAGTGTGTGTTGCTAGAGTGAGCGGCTCTTCATGGGCCCAGTCAATTTGCCTAAGGCAGCACTTAGCCTGGAAGGCCCTCTGAAATTCACGGGTGAAATAATCATTTCAACGGCTGAGTGATTGATGAACTGATTGAATGATTGATTGATTTAAGTCAGCTAATTCATTCGTATGATCCACTCTTGATCTACTCGAGACACTTGAATGTACGTCGAGTAAGTCGTGAAACAGTTTCATAAGTGTTTTTTTTTTTCACCTTAATTACGCTTCGCATTCCCGTTCATTTCCACTCTTAATTACGGGCGTTTAAAGTTTCAAAACCACTACATGATTATGAGAGACCCTGTTATGGAGGGGTCAGGGAATTTAGACCACCCGCGTATTTTTTACCGTGTACCTGAATCTATAGGCACACGGGTCTCAAGCATTTTCGCCTCTATCAAAAATGCGGGCGCCGCGGCCGTGATTCGATCCCGCGACCTTCGGGGCAACATTCGGGAATCACAGCCAATAAACTACCGTGGCGGGGCAATCCATACTCCTAATAATTCG